CAAACCCACACCCCACACACCCCACACATCCCCTTCAGGCACCCATGCTGATCTCTATAAATACCCACAACAGGGTCACATCATCCTGGGCACAGAGAGAACTGCTCCTGTCTGTGCTCCTGCCCTCTGAAGATGCCGGTCACAGGAAACAAAACTTCCAGAACACGGCCACACGGCCCAGAAGACCCACACCAGCCATCGTATTCCGGCTGTGAAAGCCTTCGACAACCAGTCTACTCACTGGTTCTTTGGTCTTTGCCACGGTCATTGTCTCTGCTGTCCATGGAGATGTATTTAGTTTGCCGTTCTTCCAGCGGAAATCGACCTAGCTCTCCTTATTTCTGAAGTATTCCATTCCCATTCCATTGAACTGATGTACCCAACATTCAGTTCCTTATAACGAAGTAGGCAGAAGTACAGTTTTACATACAGCCTCTTTTTCAACATTCATTCATTCATTCCTTGCCACACACTAACATATACTATCCATTATTTTTTTGCCAGCATTTACATGTTTTAATATGTCTCAATCTATCTCCCCATCTTTAGTAAAAATTCTATCAAGGTATATAAGTTCATCTATTTGCTCTAGTTTTTCAGTATTATGTGTAATTTGCCACTATTCCCTGTCATACACAACAATCTCGATAATTGATACAGTAGTATATTCCTTGTTGCATCCTACAGTCTTGCTAACATTTGCTGCAAATCATTTGGATTTTCAACCAACAACATAACATCATCTTCATACAAAACACACACTTTCAACTTTGCCACAGGCATAATTTATATATTCATTCTACTCAACAGTCAAGGAAATATCACAATTTCTTATTTTACTTTCTGCTCCACACTGAACTACTCCCATTTCATTTATTTTCACATATGCTTTACTTACATCATATACCACCCTTACTGCATTCAGCAACCAATATTCAACTACATTTTGACACAAAACTTTCCATAATTCAAGCCTATTCATTTTTATCATACATTTACTCTAAATGAACACACAAATTGGCAAGCAAGTAATTGTTTTCTATATCTAGGATGGCAGAGAATTATTCTTGACCTCCTTCTGTATAAGCTCCTTTTAGGTATTTGAAAAATACTAGCGTATCTCTTCTCAGTCATCTTTCTTTAAGGGTAAATATACCCAGTTCCTTCAATCTCTCCTCATAAGACTTACTTTCCATTCCTCTTACAGTTCACATTGCCACTGGTTGCAATTCTTCCAGTTTGTCTGAACCCTTGAAGTAGGGTCTATCAACTTTAAAGATGCCAAGCAAAGAAACAAATTTATATTCCAAGTCCCAATTCTCCATATTCCAGGATATCACCAGCTGGCTTCACAGATATTTATCTCTGCCATTCATCATGGTTTTGGTCAATAAAAGCACATGAAGCAAATGTACCAAAGCTGATAGTACTGTAACTTTGGACACATCTTGGCTATTAGTGAAGTACAGTTTTACCGCAAAGGTATCACCCTATTTTAAGCTAACTTGAATCTCTAGATATTTTCTTGCAAGCCAACTTACTGTAGCTTGCATCCTATCAGCTAGGAGGTATATGTAACATGTTGTGACTCACTCAGGATATATGTTTGAAAGTGGATAAAGAATCGGAGAAGAGTTT